AGGAGACGATGTCGTCGAACGTTAGCAGACGATTCCTATTGCCAACTTCGTTTCGAGTTCGAGCTCCATCGAGCGTCGTACGTGGCGTCTTCGTCTTCTCTCTTTCTAGCATTCTTCTTTCAAGAATTCGGCGAAATGCCCCGTGAACGTGAGAAAAGGTGCTGAATGATGTTGCTGTGCATTCAACAGTATCTGCGCTTCACAGCTTGATGTAATCTGCTCGCACAAGCCAATTTTCTAGACATCATTCGATGGAGGTTCCAGTGCTCTTTGATATTTCCAAAAGTACACAAAAGGTGTTTCATAATCGCTCAAACACGGGAATTTGCGTGACTAAAATTTTTCATCCGCACTATTATTCCAATTCCGTATTCACTCAAAACAGACAAGCGCGAAGAACAAAGGGGTTAAACGGCAAGAGAAAGAGAAAAAATAAATACATAGGGCATAAAACAGCGAGGTTCTGTGGGAGCTAGTGGAGACAACAGATTGCAGAGCACTTGAAAAGCACGTTCAGGTGCCTTTAAAACGTCCAAGAGGAGCAGCACCTTCACTCTATCGTCAACCGGAAGCGATGCTATTCTACGTTTTCTTCGCATTGATCCTTCTCAGTCACCCTCTACTGAAGGAGCACGGCCATGGATTTCTGAGGTAAGATACCAAGAGCAACTAGGAAACGATGTCCAGTCTCCCCTACATGGAGTAACGGCAGACGCACAGAGGCGTGTCGCAGCTGCTTCGGCAGTGCATCTCTACTGCTCTTCAGGTGTGCAAGGATGTCGGCCCAGCTGGCTCGTGCAAAAGATACAAGGAGAATGGTTGGTGCACTTCAGAAGATCCAGCCAGGGTCTCCACTTCGTGAATACATGCGAAAAAGACGTGCGGTTTCTGTCACAGTTAAGAAATGAAATAAATCTTTGCAGCGAAGTATCATTACAGCTTCAACGTATAACAACCTTACAACGTATAAGGCCTCCTAACAAACCTACCCTAACATTAGTGCAGCCAGTTTACAGGGATCTCTTAGGAATATCAAATTTTCGAGCCATTCCAATGTATTAGACCATCTCATTCAGAAACGTGGAAGGTTATTTGAATAAAAATAAGAGAGAACAAGTAGAAAAGATAAAAAGCAGTAATGCGGCGACGGGGGGGGGAGAGCATTTTACACTTTTGTTAGTTCCTATGGACGTGTCGACCCATTGAGACAGCCCTCGAGTTGGCAGGCTTTTGATACTTTTACGAGCTTGCTTCGAATAAACAAGAAGTCACAACTTTCACCAGAGTGAGACTTGTAGACCGCTAGTGAAGCAATGAACGGGCGAAACGCCCCCTCACCGTCGCCGAGCTGCTCCCCTTTGCCTTTTCAACATGTGCGAATGAAATGCTCTTGGTGTCACTGCAATAGGCAAGTTGTTGTAGCGCTGGCCATTGCCTGGTGCCTTCTGTTGACTAGAACAACTGAAATTGCACGACTGTGGTTCGGGCGAATAAGCTACTGACCCAGACTTCAGTAATCTCATTATTGGGCCTTGCTTCTGTCGGAGCAGGGCCCAGTAATCCGGTTACTTGGGACCTGGCATAGTCAATGATGGTTCTCTTAAAGATGCGCATTACTGTCCAAATCTGATCGTCGAGGACCAGACAATATACACCGGCATTAAAAATTTATTACTCGCATGCCCTCCCCCCCTCCCCAGCTTAAAGTGCAAGTATCTACTGCCATGATGATTGTTCACTTGTGCCCTTGTAACTCTTAAAGGTAGAAGTCGCTTCTTATCGGCATTCATCCTAAGCCAAAATTGGTGTGGTCCAGCTCGGAATACAAGACCACCCATATTCAGTCTGGGACCAGGGTGCGTTTCCGTAGTCTTGAATGACTTCTTAGGGAATATTGCATTATATATTGCCTTTGCAGGCCTGCCAAAAAAAAAAGTCAATTCCGGCCGAGTCACATATGAGCGAGTTTTCGCAGCCCAGACAGAGGAAGTGGATATGAGTACCAGGGCGGAAGATACCCAAGATCTTCCTCTATAAGCAGGAGCCGGCTGCCGCCATTCACCTTCATGTACACCAAAATATGAAGTCATCTCCAGTCGCGGCCTGAGTGGAGAACGCCTTTGGAATTCACGTGGCCTCCAAACAGCTGCGGAATTACTTTGATGGAAATCAACCCATGGTAGCCTACCTGGGACCAGCTACTCTTATCTGCAAAGACTTCGAACATCGAGCTGCTCCGCGTAACGTCGCTACGTTCCAGGACATCAATCATCACCCCAGTTCAACCTCAAGGCGCGGGTTGATGGTGTGGACCGGCCGTACCTGGAATGGATGAACCGATATTTTCTTCGTGGGCCCCAGACTGAGGGTGTGCGCTGGTGGCTACATCGAGCAACTCGAGGAGAATATCCCATCTTCATGTCGTCGCCCTTACCTTCTTGGAAACTTTGTACTGCTACAGGATTGGGTGACAACACATTTAATCGAAGGGCGTTGGAAAAACTTTCGCCTACTTGGAATGGAAGAACGTTGAGTACCTGGAAAAGATGGAGTATTTAAGCGGGGTCCTGAACTAAACCCCGCTTCAATTACTCGTTTTTAAGCGGAGCTCAACAGGGTGGTCTACAGTGGCGGAGAAATCAACGATCTCGCTCAACTCCGGTACCCACTCACTTTCGCGCGGCCGAATCTCTCGATGGCGCTCCTCCAGAAGGCTGTGGCGGAGTATCATTATAGTATTTAATGTGCTCTTTAATATGGTAGTAAAAATGTCCGATAAAAATTTAATAAAGTGTAACTTATAGCGCCTTGAAAGTCATGGAGGCAAAATGACTTTTTTTTGGCCCCCCCCCCCTGATATATTGCCGCTTTCAGGCATCGAACCGGCTGTGCGTCCGTGGTTCACCAAGAAAAAAATGGGGCACCCAAACGCGCCCTCTTGACCACTCTCAATTTTTCAGGCGTGACTCGGCCAACGGTTGCAGCAGTAATGTCAGGCTTGCTGGCGAGCTCAACAAGAGTCGATTCCCCGTGGTCAAACATTCGACAGTTTGCTTCATAAACCCGCTTTTCCTGAGAAAATGAGCATTATGGGGACCTCTTCTGCATTTCGTTCCTCCTTCTTTAGACTTCTACACCAAATTTTCCACATTTTTCCACTTCGAGAACAAGAAAACACCATTCTCCGCAATGATTGACCTGCACAAGACTGATCTGAACAGCGTACTTTCCTTGTATGCCGCTTGATTTGAGAATCTAGCTCACTTTTTGCCAACTCATAATTCTTTTCAATTTCTCGAGTTTTGCTTATGTGAGTTTGCGGCCAAATCTAGCTCCGGAACAATAAGGGATCCCATAGCCCCAGCGCATGCGCTTTCGTGCCATTCATTCATATGCCTCCACGAGTTGTGACTAGATGATCATAGTAAGCCAATTCGGCTTACGCACAATTTGTGTGCACCTCCTTGTAGCATTCAATGAATCTGACCCACAGACGGTGCTAGCCGAAGCCTGCTATAGCTACCTCTTCATCCTTTACTTACCCGTGGTTCGTTTTGCTCTTGCGCGCGCCTTGGAGCGCTGATGTGGGGCGGCTCAAATCGTGCTCATTAATGCTATTGATGAAAGACATTCATAGTACCAGGGAGCTGGTCGTCAAAACCCTGTGAACAACAGTCATTCAAGGGAACCCAATTAAGCGGCTGTATTACATTACTATTGATGAGGAGAAAGGAATAATTTGTGCTTCGGTCACTGGGAGCTTGATAACATTGCCGTATACCTCTGACCCTGCCTAATATGACCCTCCTTAACATGTAAGCCCTCAGTAGGTATAATGTATCTTTAGAAAGTGGTAAGCTATGAGAAGCCACACTTTTTGCTTGGCAATGACTAAAGTATCAGCAGGAGAGTGCTATTAATAAATTCTACACAATGCCAGCGGCACCTTGTGTAAAGAAGCGCTGTTCCTTTAAGGTTTGCCATGTCAAATTGCTCAGCTATTGCCAAAATCCTTGGCGCTGATCTACTTTACATCGCTACGTCCATGCAACGTTCCACGACATTTAGTTACCGTGCTAAGGGAAAAGAAGCTCTTAGTAGGGGAACACCTCCTTTTTTGTCTACGCGTGGGCAGGATTCCTCAACTCATACCATAACAACGTCCAACATCGAGGAAATGGAACAAATTGTGTGGAAAAGGTATTTGCCGTAAGGTGTGATTCTCTCATCAAGAGGCACCTGACGAGTTGCTAAGAACTC